TTTTATCTCTTCTTTCCTCTCTGGCTGGGTTTTAGTTACACTGTTCTGGATGGGTGGGGGGGAGGGGGGGCACGACTGTTTGTTACTATTGCCGTAATTGTTGTTGGAAGCAATTCTTTGTTCAATAAAAAGACCTTGATCCAAAAAAAAAAATCGTCTGTTTACAAACCTGCATGTTGCGTAGCTGTGACAGCTGTTTGCGCAGGGCGTTGGTGTTCTGCTGCAGGCTTTGTAGGTGGAGCTGCATCTGCAGACGGGACACCGTCACAGGCTGGTTGGGCCCCGAGGGTGGAGGAGGCATCAGGGCCAGAGGAGCAGATGGTGTCAAAGCTGCCCGGCAGAAAGTGAGATTCATTTCAGGGAACTCGTTCATTCCTTGTATTGGTATTTAGAGCTGATAGAAAATTGTCCCAGAGCACTGTTACCAAATCAAAAGCTTCAAATGAAATCTGCGTTTTGAGAAACATCTGCTGGTTGACTGCATGAATGCAGAATATACTGGATGTTTGCACATTTGAAAACAGAAATCCAGGACAAGTTCTATCTGTGCTGCGGGTCAGAGGTGGAGATTACAGTCTTATGTAGACTCAACAGTGATAAACAGCATGGGGAGGCTTCGGGGACAAACAGGATCGGGAGTGAAAAACAGCATTTCCGCTTAATCCGAGAGTCTCGTTATAGAGGCGTCTCCCAGACAGCCACAAAGTGTGAGTGTTTCTAAATGAGAAAATCCTCTTGAATGGCGATGAGTGCTACGTTCTGACACACGCATCATGCAGAACAAGACAAAGGGAAGTAACTGGAAGACAGTCAGTTAGTAACAGCGGAGGGGGGTGTAAGAGTTGCATTTCAAGGCTTCTTTTAAAACTAATTACAGCTGTCCACACCAAGACTGTAACACCTCAGTGCTGACACCTGTGCAGGTGAGGAAATGGTTCTGTGTATAACTGATTATGGGCACAGTTGCTGCAGCTCTGCAGCTCAACCAGAATCCAGCACAGCCTTCATCTTTCTGTAAGCTTTTAGCTGCCAGCAGAGTCCACAGATAAGAGCTCAAGCAAATCGAACCTTTACTGACTAACTTTTATCATTCAGTGAGACACGCAGATAGAAATCTGACAGGAGGAAAAAGGAGCAGCTGGAGTGAATGGGAGAAGTTAAAATATAAAAATCACAACTAAAACGACTGTTCAGAAGAGTCTAATTCAAGTCGCAAGGGACTCAGAACTTATCTGTAATTTGCGATGAAATAAGATATGAATTGAAATTGCAAAATATCATCTTTTTGGATCCTTAATAGGAAAAAA